TTCTCTCTCTTAAATATATGTATAAATATATAAATATTACTATATATTGCTTTTATATTTATATATATGAATATATATATTTTACTCCATCCAGTAGAAAGTCCATCCATTATTGATATAATGAGAATGGTTTGTGTGACATCAGTGTACTCTGACAACTAAGGAGAGTGGACTGGAATGCATGTGCATAAATGATGACGACTTCACTGTACTAATCAGTGGGGGTGGTAGAGGCCATTGAGTGAGCCTGTGTACTGTGTGTCCTGTCATATTCAAAATGACAGAGTAAGTAGAGCAAAGAATCTGCATCAGATTTTACATTAAGCTTAAACATTCCTCCATGGAAACTATTCATGTGATTCAGAAGGCCGCAGCTATGGGCAACTGGTGATTGGCAGTTTCATCAGGACAACATGCCTGCTCATGTGTCATGGTCTTGTGCAGAGTTTTTTGGCAAAACATCAGGTCACCCAGGTGACTCAGTCCTGCTACAGTCGAGACTTGGTGCCCTGTGACTTCTGGCTTTTCCTAAAACGAAAATCACCTTTGAAATGGAGGAGATTTCAGACTGTCAGTGAGATTCAGGAAAATAAGATGGGGCAGCTGATGGTGAGTGGGAGAACTGTGTGAGGTCCCAAGGTGCCTCCTTGGAAGAGGACTGAGGTGACTTTTACCTGTGTATAATATTTCTTGTGTCTTCTACCTTCTTCAATAAATGTCTCTATTTTTCTTATCACATGGCTGGACACCTTCTGGACAGAACTCGTATATATGAAAATGACTAAAAGAATGGCAATCTGTAGCAAAAAAAAAAACCACACAAAAACCCCAAACCCCAAGGGATTAGGTAATTCAAATTTAATTGAATAATCCAACCTAGGAGGTACATTTTTTTATTAAAATACTCTTTCAAACAAAGTGAAAAGAAATATATTGTGAATTATGTATGGCGAGCCCAGTATAAACTGCCACTGTGCTCTTAGGTTTTATGATTTTTTCTGTGCTATTGTTATTCTCACAAAGTGAGAGCATTTAAACTAGGGTGAGAGGGCCATTCATCTTGAGTCTGCCAGAGTGAAATCATGATAATGGATTTAATCTGGCCTTCCTGAGACTCAGACCTTCAGAAATATGAAGGCCATATTTTTAAAATAAAATACTTAATTGTGATACTCCAATCATTTATGAGACAACATTTGCATTATTTCTAGTACACAGACACACACACACACATACAAACATGCACGGGCTTTAAAAAAATTCTCCTTATAAGGAATTCTTATAATTTTATTTGAGTTATTATCCAAAATCATTTTAGTGTTTTGTCTAGCTATATAATTTATGTATCATAATGTGAACTGTTTTAACCTAAATTATATGAAGGCAGAAAAAATGTCTTTTATCTTTTATTAACAAACACTTGAAAATATATTTATTTGCTAATTAGCTGAAAAGCCAAAAAAAATCAACATGGAAATAAAATGAAACAGCCATGTTTCTTTATTAACTCTCTGTATTTATTCTACAGAATAAGTGAATCATTTGAAATAATTGTACTTAGATTATTGAACTATCAAATACCTGCAATCCCCTAATTTTCTATTTTTTAATAGAATTTTAATTGGGTTTATAAGGGTATGTATGAAGGACACAATTTTTATACACTTAACCTTTTAATTATACAGTGAAGAACATTCTGGCAAAATTAACAATACATGCTTGTTTTCATGAACTGAGGGGATTTAAAAATAAAAATATTTGCTATACTTTAAAAAATTTTTAATTAAATCATGTTCTTATTTTGTTTTTCTTACTCTCAGTCAAATGTCAATGGACATCTTTGCTCTTCTTTAAATTAAGTAATGTCAGTATTTATGTGTAATATAAGAGATTAGTGGTTCTTGCATTTATTTTTACTGGTTATACCATTCAGTGGCATATTGTTTAACTGCCTTCCTAATCATTTTGCCCTTTGGTTTTGAATTTTAATGTTGTTCTCCTTTTTCACTGATCTTTTAAAAAGAAAATGTCATTAATGTTGATACGGGGATGCTATGGATTCACTTTCCTTTGTTCAAGACAAATATAATTTTTCATTCTGATAAATTGCTATCCTTTTAAATTTACTAATAAATAGAAAAGGCTCTGATAAAAATGGCATGACAAAAAAGTATGACATTCACTTATTTCAAATCAAAGAAAATAAATACAGCATAAAATGCTCTAACTAAACAGTGAAAGGATATTAAAGTAAAACATTGAGAAATCGGTATAGTAGGCTCTAGATTATAAACTACCAGTTCAAAATCACCACTGAAATCCTCATGTGACTAGTCAGTGGCCCATGAGAGATAAATTAGTATTTTAATGAATGCATAATATTCAAAATGGAAAGAAACCTCTATTATGTATCGCCACAGTTTTCATTCTGTAAACTTTGTGTTTGTGTGGAGACTATAAAGCATTTTTTTTTTACCTTGGTGATAAATTTTGTTTCATAATAGTGCAGTAAGTTACTGGGCTAAAGGATTAGGGTATTTCTACCCATACTTGTAAACACTTGTTAGTAATTGACTCCAATGACAAGGTCGGCCATTCTGGTTTAATAACTCAGGGTCACTACTGGAGCTTTATTACCCACCTAATTCTTCCTGATGTATTGTGCTGGCCAAAAAGTCCGTGTGGTTTTATCCATAAAATAAAAGACAGTTTTAATCTTCACCAATAACTTTATCCATTTGGATATTTTGAGTATGTCGGCTATCTCCTGTATGGTACAATACTGATTGGTCTCAATTAATGTTTCAATTTGATTGCTGTCAACTTCAACTGGTCTACCCAACCATGGAGCATTGTCCAGTGAGAAATCTCCAGCAGAAAACTTTCAAACCACTTTTGACACATTCCATCTGTCACAGCACCTTCCCCATACACTGCAAAAATATTTTTTTTTGCATTTCAGTTGCATTTTTACTTTTTTTTGAAATAAGAAAGTATAATATGCTTAAATGATATGTATTTTCTTCCTTCAATATTAAAATGGCTATATAAAATGGCTAAAAATTTTGATAAAATTTTTTTTTAATGCAAGCTGATATGACAGCTGTCACAATACAATCTAACAAAATTGTTTCAAAGGAAGTTAAAGACAACTAACTAAGTGCTACTAGATCCATCTTATGGAAAGAAACAAAACAAAACAAAACAAAACAAAACAAAACAAAACAAAACAAAGGACCTTTTTGGCCAACCGGATACTTGGGACTGGTCCTAAACTTAATTTACACACATGCCCTTTGGGAGTGTTGTGTCTGAGCTACAGTTTGTGTTGAGGGAAGGCTTCTTAGAAAGGAATTGACACTTTTAACAGTCCTATAAGCTCAAGGTTTTCATCATTTGATGTAAAGTACTGCTTTCATCTGAGATGGTGTTCAAGTATTATACTTGCTCATGCATTTTTAGTGTTAAAATTGTGTTTATCTTTTAAACACAATTTGAGAAAGAAACAAGTATAATAATAGATGAGATTTCTTTTTATAATCTTAGAATGTAAAGCTGACAATTTTTCTATTTCCTAATTATTAATATTCTTTTGTTTTTTGACAGTAGGTACTCAGTCTATTATTTTTAATAGAAAATATTTTATATATATGAGAATGATCTGCTACAAAATATCCTGTTAACTATTATGTCCTATTCGTTTTCTTGGGGAATGTGGGAGATTAAAAACCATGCATATGGAATTAGAGTTGGCAAATAAAAGAGTAACCAAAACTATTTTAGTCTAAAATTTATATTATTGTTATTCTTTTAAATTTTATTTATTTATTTTTAGAAAGAGGGGAAGGGAGGGAGGGAGAGAGGGAGAGGAACATCCATGTGTGAGAAATAGCCATTGGTTGCTGACGACACACCCCCAACTGAGGACCTGGACCCCATTGGTTGCTGATGGCACATTCCCATTTAGGGACCTGGGCGGCAACTCACACATGTGCAGTGCCTGGGAATCAAAGGGCACTCAATCCACTGAACCACACAAGCCAAGGCCAGTTTTCTTACCTACTTGTTAATGCAGGTCATACTTGGTTGACAAGCTTCTGTTTTCAAATAAGAGCTTCCTTAGCCAATCCAAATCCTAATTGCATCATTTACAGACTGAAAGACTTAGGCAAGTTATCTAATTTCTCTGGGCCTCAAATTCTTCATGTGAAATAGAAATAATAATAGGATCTACCTTAGAGATGTGCTGTGAAAATTAAATGTGTTAATGTTCTAAAGCCTTAGAAAAATCCCTTGTGTATAGTAAGTGCTATATAAATATTTGTATATTCATTACTAGATTATAGCCTAGGAATATTAATTCTTTCAGCAATTTCAGTTTATGGAACTCAACATTTTTTTTGGGGGGGAGGGTCTGGTTAGTATGATTTCATCATTTATTGGCAATTTCAAAGTACATATGGTTATGCTGTAGGATGTAGAATGTAAATGCTGTTAATTTGTACCTTACTTTTTTTCTATAGTTACTAACAGCACTACTTTAATTTATAGTGTTTGAAGATACTGTCAGTAAATCCCTTACTTAATTTTTGCTAGGACTTATCTGAACAGTAAGATTTTTGGTGAAGTAACTTTGGCTAAAGAAAATCCATGTTGTCAACATAATCAGCATTCAAATGATTAAAAACATTTAAAGATTTTATTTATTTTTAGGCAGAGGGAATAGGAGGGAGAAAGAGAGGGAGAAAAACACTAATGTGTGGACCCTATACTGGGATCCCCCCTACTGGGGACCTGGCCCTCGACCCAGTCATGTGCCCTTACTGGGAATCGAACCAGCAGCCCTTTGGTTTGTAGGCCGGTGCTCAGTCCACTGAGCCACACCAGCCAGGGCCAAATTATTAAGAATATAAATTTGCATCTCTTAAAAGAAGCACATTGGACATTTTGTTAAAATGTCTAAAATTAAAAAAAAACATTAATATTCATTTTTATTACAGAAGACCGTGAAAAGTATTCTGAAATCATCAAGAAGACCAATGCAATTGAAATGTTGTTTACACTCTATCCTCCTCAAGGTGCCCATATGCAGAATAATACGCGACTTAGGTCAACTTGGCTGAGACCCATAGTAAATGGAGAAGAAGGATACAAGTACATAGGTAAGATTCTGAACCTGTTATTTCCTTTTATAGTTAAGAAGAAATGACTCTACTTTGTACAACTCCAATTCATCAGTCAGATAAAGTGAGGTGATACGTAGGCCCTATAGAATATTCTCTTTAGTTCTTAAGTATTATGCCTGAATTTTTAAAACATGGCTGTTTTATACCTGGGTGTCTTCACTAGAACAGTGGGGACACACTGTGTTCATCTGTTCACCTATGATGGAAATTTTGGTTGTCTTATTATTTTTTAATAGTGATTCTACAAGGAAAGCAGCTATGGACATTCACATGCAGGACTGTGTATAGAAATAATGGTTCCTTTTCTCTTGACTAAACTGTTTTCCGAAGTGCTTATACCATTTCTTATTTCTCATTGGCAGAAACATGAGAGTTGAATCTGGTCCACAACTCTATCAATACGTGGTGTGATCATTCTTTCTAGTTTCAGTCATTGTAATAGCTAAGTATTAGTGTTCCATTGTGATTTTAATTTGTCTTTCTCTAGTTGATATAAAACATCTTTCCATGTAGTTGTCATTTGTATAGCTTCTTTGGTGAAGTGATCGTTCAAATATTTTGCCTGTTTTTATTATTAAGTGTTGAGAGTGCTTTAATCATAATTGCCAAAAACTAGAAAGAGCACAAATATTCTTCACCTAATGAATGGATAGTGAAAATTTGTTATATTTATACAGTGAAACACTACTCAGCTATTGATACAACAACATGATGAATTTTAAATACATCATGTTAAATGGAAGAAGCCTAGCTCAAAAGCTACATATTGATTCCATGTAAGTGACACTTTGGAAAAAAGGAAAACTATAAAGACAGAGATCAGCCCTGTGATTACCATGGCTTCAGGCTGGTGGGAGGATTGGCTGGAAGGAGGCAGGGAGAGAATTCTTGGTAAGCATCTTGATCACAGTGGTATTCCCTGACTATAAACTAACAAAAACAAACTAAGTACTGGGAAGAGTTACTGTTACTGTAAATAAAATAAAAAAACACAAAAATAAAGGGAGAAACAAATTTATCTGAATGGCAAACAAGACCACAAACGACACACCCTGTTACTAGTCCTTAGGGAAATGTAAATTAAACTGCCGTGGGATACCATCACACACCCACCGTAATGGCTGAAATTAAAAAGACAGCAGCAGGCTGAGTGTTGGCAGCAACTGGAATACTAATATTTGCCTTGCAAATGCAAAATGGTAAAAAAAAAAACCAAACCAAAACAAACCACTTTGCGAAAGAGTGTGACGCTTTCTTAAGAAGGTAAGCATACACCTATGATATGACCCAGCCATGGTAATCCTAGAAGTTTGCCTAACAGAATAGAAAGTCTGTCCACAGGAAGACTTGTACCTGAGTATACACGGGTACATTGTGGTAAATGACCCAGACTAGAAACAACTCAAAAGCCAACCTACAGAAGAAAGGATAAACAAATTGTGGTATATCCACAAAGAACACTCCTCAGGAATATAAAAAAAATGTTTGTCAAAAACCATTGACAGTATTGATAAATATACAACATGGCTGAATCTCAAAACAATCATGCTGAGTGAAAGAGGCCAGATTTTTAAAAAAGAGTGCAAGTGTATGATTCCATTTATATAAAAGTCTAGAAAATGTAAATAAACTAAACCGTATGGCAGATGCATACCTGTGGTTATCCGGGATGGGGGCGTGGTGGGAAGTGGAAGTGAACTCTGGTGGATTACAAAATGTGGGGCCAACAAAGATACTTAATATTTTGATTGTGGTGATGGTTTCACAGATATGCATATATGTAAAAATGTTAGACTATCCATTTTAAATATGTGCAGTTTTTCATTTATACTTTAATATAATAGAGCTGTAAAAATAAAGTTGAAACCATCAAAATCCAAGATACTAAAATCTGTATTTTGGTAATATTTTTTACAAGATGATTTCTCTTTAAGTTTTAAAACTAGTATTTTAGAATTTATCTATAGTCATATATTTAATGCAATCTTATTGGGCTGGTGAATGTGAAAGTCTGTTTAAGTGCTCAGTTCTGATAGGTAGCCTAGAGGAAGAAGAGGAGGGAAAGAAAGCAAGAAAATTATGAAAAAATTTTTTACTCTTTTAGGTTCTGTAAAATGATTCAAGACTCCGGTTCTGATATTATTTTCTCTTTGCAGTTTTCCACCTAAAAATTACCAGAACAGGACACATATAATTTTTTAAAAATTGTGTTCATTTTTTAGAGCCCATTTGTGAATATTTGGCTCAAATAAAATAAATAGAAAGAATATATATATATATAATGGCATTATGTTGTAAGTGGAGGACTCCAACTTCTGAGGTTTTAGGCTTGTCTTTTCCCTTTTTTAGCAAGTGACCAGGGCTTTGCATCTTTCTGAATTACAGTCATTGAACTGATTGACAAGAGAGTTTGTGGCATTTGTATTGGAAAATAACAGTCTATTATAGAAAGTGCTTTTTGGAACTTAGTAACTCCTCAACTATAAACATTTTAGGGAAGGTAGCTCTGGGAATTTATTATGTGTTCCAACATCAATGTTCCAGAGTGTAGGCACTCCTGTTTATTGATTTCCCTCTGTAGATTTAGAGATGTATCATCAGCAAGAACTGAGGACTAGTTAATACAGTTACTGAATGCTCTATAAATGGCATGGGTTGCTAATAGTTTATGTAGTTTTAGGACCAGACATACTCTAAAAATGCTCAGTTTATCCATACTCTTATATTTCATACTTGCTAACCCAGTGGGTAACTCATACTTGCTTAAGTCATAATTTCAAATAGCTTAATATGCACAAAGTTTTTCTTCTGAATCATAGTTTTATAATATTAAAATCAACTCTATAGAAAAGTCTTCAAATATTTTTCCCCTGGAGCATAGGTCTTGTCAAACCTATTTTTGGAAAGGCTATTTTGGAAACCCAGTCTTTTAACACGTCTTTGGTTATCTTTCCTTACGTGTTGCCCTTCCTTGAGCTCCCTGGGTTTCTGGCCTGCCCCAAATACACTGATGCTGTTTCTCTTTCATCAAGTTTTTGGGAATTTGGTGGGCTTTTAACCTGTAACCTGTAGATTAGATTAAGGAACTCTTGGAATTCTAATAGGAATACCCTGAAAGGGGTAGGCCAGCTGTGATCTTTTAATGAAATCATCTAGGGAATGCAAATGAATGATTAAATTACTTTCTCAAACTAATGGTCCATTCTTAACCGAAACCATATTATTTTATTAATGTAAGGTTACTAATTTGTTCAGATCTTGAGTAGTGAGCAGAGACTTCTAATTTTCAAGTACTTCTTTTTCATATATCATTTCCAGACCTTAATATAGTAAATTTTACTTACCTCTATAACATAGGGTTATCTAAGTTATGTAATTAATACTGGAACCTGGTTCTCTGGTCTAATCACTGTTTTGTTACCCATTATAAAAGTACAAGGTGTCTTTTATGCCATTCACTTTATTCCACTGCCTTCAGGCAGGACCTGATGGACATGAGCCAAGTGATAATCCCTTCTTTAAAGACTGGCAACTGCACAATTGTCCTTGAGAGCTGAGTCTGATATTCGATGACCTCCTCTCTTAGAACTTTCTCCTTTGCGATGTAAGACTTCCTTCTCTTGAACATCCTTCATTGCACTTGTAACTTTCTCACTATCCATGAAATGAAGGCCATGCATAGCTTAATAAGAGTCTTTTTTCTCTCTAAAATTGGCCATTTAATGTATTATTCCTCAGAAGCCCTCTTTGTAATCCTTAATGTCTTTGGACTGTCTCTGAGTATTTTGCAAATTTTCTCATTTCTTTTAAGTGATGAAACTTACAATAAGATATGATAATCAAATATGTCTGATTTATTATGGGTATAATTCTAGCTGCTACATGTTCTACTTATATTTTTCACTTTAAAAACCTTTAAAAAATACATCTCAGCAGTTACTTAGATTTCTATTCATCATCATTTTTATCTTCTTTTGGGGGGCATATTTTATTGTAACTTGGATATATGTGTAATTTATTTTGCCTTCTTACATTTTTTTATTCTGACTTGATTTAATTTTTCTCAGAATATAGGTATTACTTTTGTCAAAATTAAGTTGTTTTAGACCTATTCTTTGAGGATTACTCTAATTTGAAAGAAGCTCCATATATTTATTTTTATTTTATATTTATTTATGGTCTATTGTAATTTGGATAAGTTGAAAAGTACTGTGCCTTGCTCTGCCTGTAAAGTGTCTGCTTGCTTGAGGAGAATAATGTGGTCACCAAATCCAACTGCACTTGAAAAGTCCTTTGTGTTTTATACCTATTGATCTCCTCCTTTTCTTCCATCAACTATAAACTGGCAGAAGCCTGCACTTTTACTTTTATGTTCTTTAATTTCTCTTTCATTTTCTTTGTTAAGGGTAAATGATGTGAATGTGTTTTTATAAGCCTAATTGCTGGTGGGAAAATGCTACTTTATTTTTAGATGGTTTGGTTGTTTAAAACTTTCAATATTCAGTATACTCACAGGAACCGCTCAACAGAAAGATACGACTGAATAATGTAGAACGTCTGGTTCAAGTTTTTCAACTATAGTCAAGTTCTTAAAAATTTTAATGAATTAGGCCTTTCTCATTGAATGGAGTGAATGTTTTCTATGTGAAGTCCCATGTTTTTTCTTGGACTTTCATGATGAAATCAGAGAGAGTCTCCCACTCCACCAACTCCGGTTTCACTAAGCAGGTTGGAAGCTTAAGGAAGAGGATGCAGCATGAGATCTATAAGTTATAGAAATGTGAGTTGCACATTTATAATAATCTACTACTGGATATTTTACCTTTGAAATTCATAAATTGAAAACTGTAAGGATGTTTTATTATTTGACTTCTGCATTTATTTATTCAATAAGCATTGAGTGTGTACTACAAGCTTGTCAGAAAGGTTGAGAAATAACCGAAGCTTAATCCCTTCAGAGCCTTAGAAGCCTTAGA